TAGTGTGTACTGGGCTTATATTGGGGGGCGGGGGGCGAGGGAGGGGCTTATACTTGGGGGACATTCAGAGGTTTACGGTATACAGTTGAAAAAAGCTTGTATTTTCTTGTCATATAGCCACACATTTCTGGGTGCGTATGGAACAGTTTATACGTTGGGTTCTCAAGTCGATCCAATGGTAATTTGATATTGCTAATCCAGCTGTCCTCTGCTGTTGCGGTTTTTCTAACCATGCAAATTAAAGATCTGAGCGCAAAGCCACCCGAACATTAATTGTAAGAGCAATTGACATCATGCATGACAAAATTACGAATTTTACTCCACCATTCCTTTAAGAACCCACTTTATTATTTTTTTAATTGAAATTATTAATCCCGGATAGCCTACTTACCTTAGCCCGCGTGCAGGCCCAAGGAAAGAATAGTGAGCCTGCAAGCAAGGCCCTGTATTTTGTAAAAGGCCCCTTTTCATAACACGCCCCATTCGCGCGTCAATTGTCAAAAAAGAACCAATGACAGCAACCCAAATATTAACAAGCAAACTCGCATTAAAATGTTGCGGGCTTTTCTCTGCTTTAATATTCAAAATAGAAACAATGTGTAAATGGCTGTGTTTTAACTCCAAAAAATCAAGCAACGCAATCAGTAATTGCCAAATTTACAAGTGCTCATTTTCAACTAAAATCGGAACAGGCAAATTACGACGAATTTCAACAGAAAACCAGTCTCAAACTTCAAATCGTGAGGGAAGTCGTGCGACCACATTAGCATTTAAATGCATGTGTGCTTGGCTGTCGCCGTTGTTATAAATAATTGTCTCACTTATCAGATCGTGTGTGCAATTCTTGTTGGCGGCGGAAAGTACGAAATTTATTTCAGTTATTTCATTTGGTAAAGAACTCTACAAAAGAAGAGAGGGTTCAGAGTCCAGATCGTTTCGTTTCAAACGGCAATTAATACCATCTTCTGTTTCGCTCTCTCAGCGAAGCCTTGCAAATCGCAAAGTGTTTCGAATAAGCTTACATGGAACTCTCTGTAAATCTTCACCGCGAAAAGCGCTGTTTTCTTCAGTGCAAGAACAGAGTCAACATCAATCAAAAGATAATTTTCTTGAGGAACATATAACGTATCAAGTCTGTTTGAAATTAATGTACCCCAGTCGTAATGTTGCTATTCCAACACTTCACGACAAGCAATCCCCATTGGCATAACGGCCAAAACATCTCTTCCTTCAAGTAAACATAAAGCAGTCCGTTCTTGTTCCATTTTTAATCGAAAACAGTGATCAATTTTCGAATTTTAAGCTTATGGAGAGCCTTTGTGATGAATCAGTGATCTAATTATAGAACCCAACAGCAAACAGCCAATCAGAATGCCGCGTTCGTGGGCGAACGCGGAAAGTACAAAATACCGGGCCTTGCTTGCAGGCCCACTATTCTTTCCTTGGGCCTGCACGCGGGCTATACTTACCTTGTCGTTTCCAAATATTTATATCAGAATGTTATGTAATAAATCTCCTGATATTGTGAAAAGAAAAAATTCACACTCTTGGTGAACCTTCATTTATTCCCACTTCTAATTTGTTATAAATTTTACTGCTGTTCCACTATCAATTAAGAACATAATTGTACGCCTTTCCAGAAATCACACTTTCCGTAATTTTATCATGCTTACAATAAATTGTGCAATTTAACTCGCGTATGTTTTTCGGAATAATCTTATATTTGCTGAAAATAGCTGCCGGTAAAGGATTAAATTCGTTTCATTACCGACATTAACTTATTTTGTTGTTTATAAGGTATTTGGAAATCTGTCCAAAGCAGAAGTACCAGTGTGGCAACTATCTGAGAGTACGGGAAGATCTATCATGCGTTCAAGCACGACAAGCAACACTCGAAGCTTATGGTACTACACAACAACCAACATTTAACACCCAGGATGACATGCGAGCGTTGGGCGCTCGTTCTTTGCAGAGAGAACGATTTTTAGCAGCTCAAAGATATGCCCTGAATAACAAAGGGAAAAGGAATGAAGAGATACAAAATTTTGCTCGTGTAAATAACTTTAATATTAATATATGCACCCTTTACTGCAGAGAAAAGGGATACCATGTTGATATGAATCCCTAACGGCAACTGTTCCTTGCGTACTGTATATGACCTCGGCGGTGACGCGATTGTCAGATGTCAAGTTCCTTTCACCTATGAGATCATGGGTCCCTACTCTGGTTTCCTTTCACAGGGAATATTGACAGGATGGACTGGGATTAGACCTTAATTGACCCTTCTACCGTAGCCATGCTCTATGATCAGATATATGTCATAAGGTGGCTGCCGGAGACGCCATTACTCCCTTGCATTCTTATTTCTTGCTTGCTTATACTAATGACAACTACTTAATTAATTAATTAATTAAGTCATTAGTATAAGCAAGCAAGAAATAAGAATGAAATATGAATAAACTTAATTAATTAATCAATCAATTAATTAATTAATTAATTAAATTCGCTGGGTCCAAATTTTGTGGTTTTCGAGTCGTTATACAAAGAAAAACACATTAATTCAACACGCAAGAAAGTCCAGAGTTCGACACAACGTAAATTCCATAGGAAACCGGCACAATTCTTTTAAAATTCAACGAAACTGTGTAAAATATAGTTTGATCACTCTGTGAAAAGTCGCCATTGGAGTTCGGAATTGTGCGCGTGCGTACAAGTGTATGGGCTAATAAACGAAAATGTACCACAAGCATGGCATGAGTCGGCTATTACGTACATAAATACCGAACTTATTACTATGCTATCTAAATCATGGAACCGAGGGAATCAATGGCATTTTGGCTTAATGGTTGCACCATGAGCCTGCGATGAGCTAACGCAAACTCGATTTCTCGACTACGAAAAAAACAGAAAAAGGGGGATTTAAGACACTTGGCCCTACAGGCCAGTGTAACTAAATTCCCTGACTGCCGCGGGCACACTGCCCGACAGCCGCATGTAGACTAGTATTTCGATTCCGATGGAATTAAGTTTGATAGTTTAGATACATGTGATGGATATTTTGAATATATACTAGATGGAGCACACAAAATATGCATACAGTCGTTTAGTTTTGATCGAGTACACCGAATAATGGTACAGCCGTTTAAGTTTTGATCGAGTACGCTTTAAAAGAGTATAGCCGTTTGCCCATTTTAATACTTTTGATTGAGTATGCTTAGAAAGCGTACAGCCGTTTACTTTTGATCGACTACGCGTAGAAAGCATACATTGACAAATACTTGATCAAGTACACATGTTAAAATCCACTATTATTATATACTTTTTGTGTAATGAGTACTGACTACTGAGTACACTTCTCAGAGAGTAAACAAAGTAATAGCACGAGAGCAAGAAGTCGAATGAGCCATTGAACGCCAGCACGAAGAGCAGGAAGTCGAATAAGCCGCTGAACGCCAATAAGATAAGCACAAATAATCACATGTGTCCACGATTTGTGTCGATTGGCCAGAGTTAAGAGCGGCCGCGTGGGAGAATAAGCCTTGCGCGAAAAAAAAATCCGAAGCGAAACTATGACTCGAGCTTAGCTCGTGTAATTATAAAATACTTACCGAAGAACATTTTCTCCTTAGAAGCAACCTGATGATTCTTCTTGGATGAAAACAAACTATATCTGCTATATATCTATGGTATATCGGGCACTCTTTAGCATTTCATGAACCAAACCACATTCGTATATTTGCATCCGTATACCGGTTGTGCATGCATAACGAAAAAGCTTTCAGTCAGAAAGGAATGAAAATTAGAAAGACATAATGACAAGGTGCTCCAGTGCATGGCCAGCCTTCCAACACCAAGCTTACGCTCGGACACATTGGTGCCTTAAGTGGAAAGTGTGTGTCAGCAATCTGGGCATTTAAGCTCTATTTCCTCCTACAAATACTTTATCATAATTACTTGAACAAGTTTATTTGGTTACTTACTTTTAACTGGAGATTGAAAAGTATGAGTCTACTGTGGATTAGTTTACATGTCCATGTACATAAATTTACAAACATAATGAGTAAGTAACTCATGCACAGTTTTTGAAAATACATTATCAAATAATATGCATTTTTTCTGTGTTGGTGTTGTGTACTCAGGTGAATATGATATTTGTGGTGTTACTCTGAGTGTATATCCATACCGGGCGAGTTTGAAAAATATGCCCGGCCACGGTGTGATTCGAACCTACGACCTTTGGAATACTAGCTCAATGCTCTTCCAACTGAGCTACGCGGTCAGGACGGTTCGAGTAAGTGATATTTCGGAACAGAATCTAGTTCCTTCGATACCAATGTTTTCTAGTAATATGAATTTTTTTCTGTGTTGGTGTTGTGTACTCAGGTGAATATGATATTTGTGGTGTTACTCTGAGTGCATATCCACACCGGGCGAGCTTGAAAAATATGCCAGGCCACGGTAGGATTCGAACCTACGACCTTTGGAATACTAGCCCAATGCTCTTCCAACTGAGCTACAAATACCATAAAATATCATATTCACCTGAGTACACAATACCAACACAGAAAAAAATTCATATTACTAGAAAACATTGGTATCGAAGGAACTAGATTCTGTTCCGAAATATCACTTACTCGAACCGTCCTGACCGCGTAGCTCAGTTGGAAGAGCATTGAGCTAGTATTCCAAAGGTCGTAGGTGTTATGTTTTAGAACGTTACTTTATTGTAAGATCAAGATATACAAATATGGCTGCCATTTATACTGTTATTGTACTGCAGGCTCACATATTCTTACATGTACTTCATATAACATTACATCCCTATTATTATTTAAAAAAATTTAAAAAAAACTTAATTATACTATTGTTCCTTTAATTAAATTAACTATTGTTTTTTTTTTTCTATTTGTTTATTGTTTTTTTTTAAAAAAAACTTGTCCATGTAATTTTATTGTTACTTCTATTACTATATCTACTTCTAAATGTTTAATAATATGTCTCTACAAATCTAGCCTCTGCGGTGGCTTTACTTGTCTTCCGGATCGTGTTCGGTAATATTTTGTTCCTGGCATTTCCACGTTGCTTCTTAGCGACGCGTTGGCTTTCGAATTGTCAGTTAGGTTTTGCTTTGCTAGCTCTTGTCTTTCAGGATTTTCACAAGCATCACTTGCTTTCTTAGTTGAAAACCTCGGCCAATGTACACTCCTTGTATTATCTGGGGTCTCTTCGGTCTTTCGCAAATCCACTCGATTCCGTCTGTAGATTTGTCCGTTGACACTAATCATGTAAGATCGGAAATCCAATTTCTCTTTCACGATCGCCTTCTTCCACTTCTTGTCACCAAGCTGATACGGCCTCATTCGCACCACATCTCCTACTTTCAACGGAGGTAAGGGTTTTGCTCCAGTGTTGTAATAGATCATTTGTTTCTTTACTCTTGATTGTTGTCGATCCGTTTCCTTAATTACTTGTGGTTCGAGCAGTTCGACAGTTGTTGGAATCGTTGTCCTTGTTCTCCTACTCATAAATCGCTGCACTGGACTACTTGTTAACCCTTGGGTTGGTGTGTTTCTGTGGTCTAACAGTGCCATGTATTGATCGGTCTTGGCGTCCATACTCTTCCTTAGCAATCGTTTTGCAGTCTTAACAGCCGATTCCACTTTGCCATTAGACTTGCTGTGCCTTGGAGAGGTAGTACGATGTTCAAAGTCCCATACTTTGGCGAATCTTTCAAAGGACTCCGATACGTATTGTGGACCATTATCACTCACCAAAACACTTGGACTTCCATATCTGGCGAAATGGGCTTTCGTCTTGTTAATCACAGCAACGGATGTAATTGTTGGTAGGTAGTCAATCTCCCAAAAATTACTATAATAGTCAACAGTTACTAAATACGTTCTCCCTTCTAGTGTGAATAAATCTGATCCGACTTTCTCCCAAGGTCGGGTTACTTCTTCATGGGGATGCAACGGCTCCTTTTGTTGGCAGGTGCCGTACGTTCGACAGATGTCGCAGGCCAAAATATACTGCTTCAGATCACTTGCCATTCTTGGCCAAAAACAGGACAAACGAGCTCGTCTCAGACAACCGTCAACACCCAAATGCGCTGAGTGGATCCTGGCTTTCATATCTTCGCGAAGCGTCAAGGGAATGACAACCTGATGACCTTTGAATACCAACGAATCATGCACAGCGAGCTCATCTCGGTAGCTCCAATACGGCATTAGTCTTTCGGGTAACTTAGAACGCTCTTGAGGCCACCCATTAGCAATGGTTGTCATCAATAATTGTAAAGTACTATCACATGCAGTTTCTCCTTTTATTTCACTGAGGCGCTCTTCGCTCATTGGGAGATAGGTCACCACATTAACATCTGCTTGATCCATGATTGGGTCTTTGTCATCTGTGGTATGAGCTCTTGAAAGGGTGTCGGCAAGATACATTGTTTTTCCAGGCTTATAAAACAATGTAAAATCGTACTTTTGTACTCTAAGGATCATATTCTGGAGCCTCTTTGGTGCCTTGATAAGCGGCTTCTTGAGTATCATCTCCAGTGGCTTATGGTCGCTGTATACCACGGTGTGCCGACCATATGTATACTGATGGAACCGTTCTAAGGAATACACGACTGCCAACATTTCCTTTTCTATAGGTGCATAACGTGTTTCTGTATCACCCAATGCACGGCTCGCGTAAGCTATTGGCTGATCGTTTTGCATCAACGCCGCTCCAACACCTGTACCACTACTATCACACTGGATAACTAGGTCTTCTTCAGGGTTGTAGTACGCAAGGACAGGACTTGTGGTTATCAGGCGTTTCACATCCTCAAATATCTCGTCATGGGTTTGATTCCAAGCTTGGTTGGTTTTAACAAGTTGTCTCAAAGGTTCTAGGCGGTCGGAGAGGTCAGGAAGGAACCGACTTAAGTATGTCACAAAACCAATGAATCTTTGGATGCTCTTCACATCAGTGGGTTTGGTCATGTTTGCAACAGCATCAATCTTGGCAGGATCTGGTTTGAGCCCTTCATTCGTAATCAGATGTCCCATAAATGGTATTTCTGCACGATTGAACATAGACTTCTCGTAACTCAGCTTAACATTCTTTTCTCTGCATCTCTTCAACAGGTTGGTCAGGTTGTTATCATGATCACGTTGGGCTTCTTCCATTGTTTCACCACAACCATATACAACAATATCATCGGCGATGCACACCACTCCAACTAAACCTTCCAGGACTTGATTCAGGTGCTTCTGGAAAATCTCAGATGATACTTTAATACCAAATGGTAGTCTGAGCCACCTGTACCTTCCGAAGGGTGTATTGAAGGTAGTCAGAAAACTCGACTCTTCATCCAATTGGATGTGCCAAAAAGCAGATGCAAGATCAAGCTTTGTAAATACCTTTGCTTTATTAAGGCTGGGGAGAACATCATCCAAAACTTGTAAATGATAATGTTCCCTTTTAAGTGCTCTGTTTAGAGGTTTGGGGTCTATGCATACTCTCAATTTGCCTGACTTCTTTCGGCAAACAACGAATTGGCTTACCCATTCAGTGGGCTTTTCGACTGGGCTCAAAATCCCTTTTTTAACCATATCATCTAACTCTCCCTTTAACTGGTCTTTTATAGCGTGAGGTACTCGTCGGGGTGGTAGAATAGATGGGGTTACTGATGAATCAGTTTCTAAATGGACTGTTCCAGGGAATGTTCCGAGGGATCCATCAAATATGTCAGCAAACTCATCTCGAATAGATTTCGTTTCTGACTGAGGTAACCCAGTGATAACATTCATGCAAACAAACTTGTCAGTGTTTACTGTTATGAGCCCCATCTGTTGTGAAGCTTTAGAACCCAACAGAGGAGTCAAATCATCATTATCTACTACCACAAATTCTATAGAATACTTCCTGTTATTACTTGGGTTAATGACTTTCAAACGGCATGTTCCTATAGCTTGCACCTTTGATGAATTCCACATTCGCAGACTAACAGGACCATTGTCTATTTTTTTTCCTTGTACGAGGCGTTTAGAAATTGTATTAACTGAGGCACCACAGTCAACTTGAAATCTTACAGGCTGATTATCAATTAACATATTGGCATATATTGCAGCGGACGACTTCCCCCCGAGGGAGTTTATTCTTGAGACTGTACTTATAAATTCGGTCTCTGATGACAGTTCAGACGAATCTGTCTCTTCAACAATCCTAATTTTCTTATCCTTTCTAGGGCATTTAGCAGCAAAATGATTACTACGCTTACATAAATTGCAAGTCTTACCTAAGGCAGGACACTTTGATTTCACCATTTCGTGTTTACGTCCACAAAATTTGCACTCTCGTATACCAGAATATTGTTCCTTTTGAACTGGATTATATTGCCTCTTTTTCTTTTCAAAGTTCTTTCGCATCTGCTGAATCTTTCCTTCTTCTCCCATTGCTTTTATTTGATGTTTAGTTGCTTCTGCCCCTTTGCAGATATCTATGCAACGATCCAGCGATAAATCTCTTTCTTGTAGCAATTTCTTTCGAGTATTCGGGTCATTAACACCAAGGACAATTCGGTCTCTCAGCAGACTGTCATGTAAATCGCCAAAATTACATGTGCGAGACAAGGCTCTTAATGTTGTTATATACTGAGCGATACTTTCATCGGGCTCTTGATTTCTTCGATTAAAAATGTATCTTTCATAAGTTTCATTTAGTGTCCCGATAGCCAGCTGTTCAAAATTTGAGAGAATGCTCTGTAATGTTGGTTCGTCTTCGAATGTCATTGTGTTGTAGGCCTTAAGCCCTTCAGGACCAACAGCATGTAGAAACATAGCGACACGAAACTTTTCTGGGCGTTCGTCAAGTTGTGCTACAATGGCATAATTTTCCCATTGCTGTTTCCAAAGTCTCCAGATTTCAGCGAGATTATCACCAACCATACGAAGCGGTTTAGGTGGCGAAATCCCCGTTAATTGTACTTGTTGAGGCTTGGCATCAGACGAAGTAGGTTTTTCCATGTTATTTAACTTCCCGCTGCCACCATGTTATGTTTTAGAACGTTACTTTATTGTAAGATCAAGATATACAAATATGGCTGCCATTTATACTGTTATTGTACTGCAGGCTCACATATTCTTACATGTACTTCATATAACATTACAGTAGGTTCGAATCCCACCGTGGCCGGGCATATTTTTCAAGCTCGCCCGGTGTGGATATGCACTCAGAGTAACACCACAAATATCATATTCACCTGAGTACACAACACCAACACAGAAAAAAATTCATATTACTAGAAAACATTGGTATCGAAGGAACTAGATTCTGTTCCGAAATATCACTTACTCGAACCGTCCTGACCGCGTAGCTCAGTTGGAAGGGCATTGGGCTAGCATTCCAAAGGTCGTAGGTTCGAATCCCACCGTGGCCGGGCATATTTTTCAAGCTCGCCCGGTGTGGATATGCACTCAGAGTAACACCACAAATAACATTATCAAATGTTAAACCAAGCTGCTCAAGTTTCTTGGAAACATGGGGTCGACCTTTTATCCATTGCTTCACTATTTCTGAGAGAACAGTTGTATTTATGGGGACATTCTTTGTTGCTGGGTTAGCTGAAACAACCTTATTAACCATTGCTTTTTTGTTGCTATTGGAGCAGGCTGTTTGTCAGGTTTGGAACGTTTACAATTTGTAAGTTCTTCGGCAGCATTGACAAACTCCGTCAGTACAGGCATTAAAAAGAGAGAACGATTCAAACTAAACTAAATATACACACACTAATATACACTAATTAAAGGACGAGCTAAAGGATGTAACATCTGTAATCACAACACCCCCAACAATCACCATTTTTTAACGGTCAAATAACCGAATCAAATGTTATTTCATCCACCAACTTTCAGGCAATTCTGGCAAATCGTTAAAGTGCCTATGCATGAAAATTTTTTTTTGATTGAGTTGCAAAGTTTATTTGAAATCATAATGTAACTTTTTTCTAAAACTTTGTTATCTTTCCTGTATATCAAGATATTGGAAGTTGTTTAGCATGCAAATATGACTTAAATGACGCCACATTGCATAATGTATTTTACAGAAGACTGTTTTTTATCATGATAAATTTGCAGACGAAATATATAACTTTCAATGTCAGTTGAAATTTCTCTATTCATGATCAATAATAATTATTGATGCTTCATGATCTATTCTATCTACATGCTAAATTTTCTATTTTAACTGAGTACTGTAACTTAATTAATGCAAGCCCTGGAATTAAAATACCTTTTTGTGGATTGGTACATCAAACATCTCATCTTTATCAGGAATGATGTCACTGAACAATTTGACAAAATCAAAATCTTACTTAATTTCTTTGGTGTCTCTCAACTTCGGTATTGAAGTTGATGTTTCGTAACCACTAAATTACAAAATTTTTCTTTGCATAATTTCCACGAGGTGGGCGGGGGGGAATATTCCATAACTCGGGTGGCACATACCTTCGTCAGGTAGCAATTTGCTTTGCAATAGAATACACATGCTATTCATTGAACACAGTGTGCCGGTAGTTAATATATTAAAATTAAAATGAAGAAGAGAAAAACAGCACATCCATACATGTGTAGTATTATTCACAACAAAGCATATTTTGTATCTCAAAAACAAATATAATTATTTAACATAGTGGATCGATACCTTCCCCCATTGTGTTCAAATGCCTTGAAATGCCCAACCGTTGCAAAAAATGAAACAGAAAAATGTCCAATCCCATGTACAAATTGGCCGAGTATTGGCCATCCCCAACCTCATATATTTTCTCTGGATGGTCATTCCCAGCTTTCTGGTTGGCCATTACTTTCTCCTTTTATTCTACAATCCACCACCCACAGCACGAAAAGTTTGCAAATCCTTACAGCAAAAAGCTTTCTTAATACCCCATGCCTCCTCCATTCCTGTTACTGTATACCCTCACACAATTATCCACCATAATTTAAAATCCCAGACCGTCCACCTTGGGGAATGCTGGGGGTACTCACTTTCCAGTGTGTGAACCAATGACTAGGAGGAGGTGATTTTCTACACTTTCCCACAGGTATATCCGAGGTGAAGGGAGTCATGGATTTTAACCCTTACGAAAAAATTCTATAAGATCCTATAGGAATTCCTACAAAAAATGCCATTTCCTATAGGAATTCCTTTAGGATCCTATAGGAAAAGAATGGGCCAATTGCGGAATTGCTAAGCATCATGGTAGTTTAGCTTACACAGCAGAATATTTCAACACGGCGCTTATACTTTCCGAACGAGGGAAGGTGCTAAACAAAGGAAAATTGCAAATCATTTTCGCTTTGATAAAAGTTTTGACTAAATCTGTATGGCTTGTTTCACATTTCTACTGCGTCTTGGGCTTCTATGAGCGAGTGTGGTTGGAATATTCAACATGGCGTATAGAGTCACTGAAGCGGGAAAGAAGCTCGATTCGTAAGAGTCCGGAACCAAGTTTTGAATATTTCACAATATATAGGTGAGTGCCGCTTATATTAGATTATTTTCGAGTTTAATTATAGTTAATTTCAGTTTAATTCTAGCGGTTCGAGAGACAAAAATATTTGCACACTTGAACTTCCCGAAACAAACACCTGTTTGATCAAACGTTCCTTTCATAAACCAAAACATTGAGGTTGTTTGTAAGCAAGACAACTTTCAAGACAGCAAAACGTTACGCAGCAGACTACAACAACCCAGCACCTACTTTTGCTAAACATGTAAATGTTCACTTGAAGACTTAAGAACCTTGAGAGTGGTTTGAAAACTGTTGGCACTTGTGATTATTTACAGGGCCTTTTAGTATCGAATAAGGAATTGCCTTGAAAAAAGGCATTCAATGATGCGAACCTATTTGTAAATCAAATGTACAATATCGAAATTCGAAAATCAATACTGGAACAAATTACTGTTCCTGACTTTGCGGAAGTGTGCAAACATTTACCTCCTCCGGAGTATACACCATATACTCAAAACACTCTTTTGAATCACACTGAAAATGTCCATGTGATCGTCAAAATTTTTCAGCCGGGCTGAAATTGCTCCATGTAATATGCTCCTTTAATATACTATATGAAATAAATATACTACGCCAGTAATTGAAACCTTAAATTTTTATTGATCACTACACGTTATATTCTAAGCCGTACAAATAATCAGTGACACATGCATGTCAAATGCACAGAATCTTCTCAAGATACATTAATGTCTTCCAAGGCGATCTCATGTTGGAACTTGTGAAGACATCTTTCCCCTGAAGCATCTTCCTGTACTGAAAACAGGAATCCGCTATCATCTACCGCCATGCCAAACATTTTCACTTTGTGGCCTTGATTCCACTCTCTAATGTAGCGCCGTTTGCCATCGTATGTGCGTTGGTAGACACCACTGACGCTATTTTTAAAAATATCGCCTCCCGAGGAGTAAAACAAGTTTTTCTTAGAATCCATGGCTATTCCTTTGATTAAATCCAATCGCGAGCTCCCGTCCTTAACATCATTCCAGTCGGAGACCTTCACATTAGGTTTTGCAATGTCCAAGACTTTCAGTACATGTCGAGTTTTGGTATTAATTGACGGCACCGCTCCAACACCGTCGTCCGCAGCAGCGAAGTAGGTTTTTTCTATCACCCAGTCTTGTCTGCTGTTCGAGCAGCTAAGGTAGTAGGTTTTGCCGTAAAATATGTTTTTATATCTTCTGAGATACCAGCTAAGGCGATCATGCAGATCTGGCTCGGGGGTTGAACTTTTCCAACGCATTCCCCAGTGCCGAATAACACCATTGTAGTCTGCATATCCAAAACGGTTTCCACAGAAGGCCACACTCCTTACATCGGCTTTCTTACTTCCAACATTCAACAGCTGGGACATGGTGTAGTAGTGTTCTATGCTGATTCCATTTGGCTCTTCTAATTTTCCTTTTATATTAAACAACATGACCTTGCTTTCTCCTCCTGATATTTTGGTTTGGGCGGCAATGGCCATCACTTTGTGTTCCACATTGATAGCAATGCCGAGTGGATGACAGTTTCCGCCACATTCGGTTCCTGGAACATGGATGGTTTTGACGATATCAAAGGATTCCCGATTGACCATCAAGATCTTTTTGGCCGCAGGTTGTACAACAAAGAGATGACCAGCTTCGTAGAGTAATGTATCAGAGTCAATAAATTTATTGCAGTCAGTTTTCATTAGTTGAACAGGGTAACGAGCGAGATCTCCAATGGCAAATAGAAAGTCCTGTTGCGGTTTTCTCCTATCTTTGGCATTTTCCCCTTTGTCAATATTTTTTATTTTGGTGCATAACTTTCCGTATTCGGAATCTTCTGGTTTAGGCCACCAATTGCAAACCTTGGCCATGAGCTGGCTGTAAGATTTGTCTTTGTTTTTGTACTTGATTGAAGCAGCCAATGCAACAGAGGCGTAGCCATCCTCTTGATAGCGGAAGAGCTGTTTGACAAAACGCCATGTCAGTCTGGCGGCGTCTCTAGTGGATTTTCCCTTTTTAATTTGAACGTCGAAATAATGAGTGACAAGTCCTTCTTTGGTGACTAGCGCAGGGATATAAAAAAGGGCTTTCGTAACGTATTCGTCATTTCCTGCTCCGCCAAGCACTTCGTTTATAAATAACTGTCTTCGGTCTTTAACCAGATCAGTAACGTTTTCTTTCTGCAAATCTCGGATAACTTCTTTTCTCAGGAATGCAATGTGATCGACATGATTGAAGTACCATTTTTTCTTTGAATTGTCCCAAATTTCATCCGCCAAATCCTTGATCGACGTCAGGTCGCTGTGCATTGCATCCAGCTTCTTTTCCAGGTTTTCCAGCTTTTGTCCGACTTTGTCTCCACCACAGGCATCGGTAGATGTGCAGATAATGCCCTGAATAGCTGATGCTACGCCTAAAGCTTCGCCAATTACGCTCCAGACTTTACTCGCTGCTGCAATCGGAATAAATGGAGTTCTTCTCTGAACATTTTTACTTTCCACGTTCCACCAATTGCTAAACATCAACAGAAACACCACCACAGTAGGAACCTTAAGATATGCCATGTATTCCTGTAACGACGAGAAATGAAACGGCCCTTTAAAGACGACTCACAATTGCAAAGTTAGAAATATAACGTTTTATATTATCGGGAAAAAAGTGACCATGTTCTTGAGAATTGGACAAAAACTGGAGATGCGGTCACACTTTTGATGATATTTAAATTTTATGATCAATGCAATTTTATAAATTGCAGACCAGCATTAATTGTTCCAATATTTTCTAAGCCAATGCATATAATATCTTAGCAAAGCCTCCTAAATGTCTGACAAACCCTTCAAATTTCCGACACTCCACCCATTTGCACTCGAAAAGGTGTAAAAAAAAAACATCACCGCTACTACGTCAATTATAATTCGGCAATTGATAAATAACTATTGACTTTAAGCAAGTTGAAATCTGCTGGTTATTAGGGAGTGGTCATTATTTATGGGGTGGTAGGGAGTGGATGATCTTTTAGGCAAAAGCTAAAATTTTCCATAACTCCTCTTTTGAGAAACCTTTGAAATTCATAATCCCCCCAGCAGTGGGCAAAACATTAATAATTAAATGAAGCAGAAGTGATAGCGAATAAGGACTTGAAAAATGTTAAAGTGTGGTTGTCTTCAAACAAACTTAGCTTAAATATCGCGAAAACGGATTATATTTTGACTAGATCACGCCCTAAGCTTAATAGCATGGATGTCCAACCCACAGTTAAGATCGACACATGTCTAATCAAAAGAGTAAAATGCGCAAAAGTGCTAGGAAATCGATGAGAACTTAAACTGGGAAAAACATATTGAATATATCGCTAGTAAAGTACTTCGGGGATTAGTGCGTTAAAAAAAAATCTTAAAGAATTTGTCGACCGAGATACACTAGTGCTGGTGTACAATGCATTGATCCAGCCGCATTTTGATTACTGTTGTGAGGTTTGGGAAGAGCTTGGCAAAGGCTTGGGCAAACGTCTTCAAAAATTGCAGAATCGAGCGGCTAGATTAATTATAAATTTTGAAATTGAGCATGGGCGGTCTATTATAGCTCGTACTGCTCTCGGTTGGACATCTCTTGAAGAACGTAGAACATTAATGAAGGCCATACTCATGTACAAAACAGTAAATCGATTAGCTCCACAAAGACTGTGCAACATTTTCCAATTTTCCAACACTGTTATATAAGAGGTTCTTCAACTGGGCTTTTTATTCCAAGGCCCAGGACAGAATTTGTAAAAAAAGTTTCAGTTACAGTGGGGCTAAATTATGGAATAGAATACCAGAATATATTCGAAATTCGATATCTTACAACTCGTTTTGTAAAAACCTTTTCTCCTCGGCCTCCCAATTATTAAGTTAAGTAGTTTAGTTTAGTTAAGTGAATATTTAATAGCATTTATATAATAGTAACTTGTATGTATTAGTAAATTAGTCTTAAAATTATAATAGTTAGCCAGCACACCTCCGTGAATCGTGATTAATATGCGTGCCGTGAATCATGAAGAGCTAAAAAGCTAGCTATAGGGTCTTGAATTTACCAAAAGTTTACCCTAACTTGTGAATGTTTACGTTTAAAACTCGGCCCAAATTTAATATTATTGGGGGTGAATGAATAAATTTGCTTCCCGCGATTGTCTTTCTTGAGGTTTCTTCGTTTCATCGGTAAACGTCGTTATCGTATGCCTAATTCTTACCTCTTCGTAAACATCGTGAACCATCGTACGACGCTCGTAATGTTTCGTATTGCCTCGCAATGATTTCCATAGTCCTTTAAACAGCTCTAATGTTAAAGTCAGTATGTGTTAAATGGTTTCAGACTTTGTTACGCTTCTGTGTTTCTAAAAATCGTGAAAATGAAATTTTGTTTTTCGTGACTCGTGAAATCGAAAAATGATCTTCGTTATTTCGTCACGAGACCCCCCTTACTCCCCCCCCTCCATAATGTTGAATGAGATTAGTGTGCCTAAATAAAGTTTATCTATCTATCTTATTTTGGCGCGCTAGATTTTTATAAATTTAATATAAGGGTGAGACTAAAGTTGTTTATTTTACAGCTTGTCATGTGATAACACAATTTATCTGATATACACAAGGTCTGGGTATGAGGTATTCTGCAATCTGATTGGTTCTCTGATTTGATATTAGGCCATATCCTGTTAGTAGAGAAAAACAAAATGGCCGCTCAAACTGAATTTCCGACGTTTTGCGAACGAGAAAACGGCAAGTTGTAAGCTTTTTATATAGCCTTTACAGGATTAAAAATACAATGAAAAGACTCCCACAAATTGTTTACATAATAGTTTTGTTTGTGGAAACACCACGTAAATTTATTACTGCAAAGCTTTCGATCCGTAAGCCCGGATCTCCATCAGTGCTAATAATATGTGACTTGTTTAATTCACACGCTCTTTTTTATATACAAAAGTGTCGTGATCTGTTGGCTCGCGTCATTTGATCCAACAGATCACGACACTTTTGTATATAAAAAAGAGCGTGTGAATTAAACAAGTCAAATATTATTAGCACTGATGAAGATCCGGGCTTACGGATCGAAAGCTTTGCAGTAATAAATTTACGTGTTGTTTCCACAAACAAAATCGCCATGCAATCATACAAAGAACTTAAACTCTTTACAAGTTAGCAAATCAATTTTTAAAATCTAAAATGGTAAAAATAGATATTTTTAAAAATTAATCGGCCGAAAGAGCGAAGATAAAAACATAAACAAAATAGAAAACTATTGAAAATATCTGAAAAGCAAAGTCTGCGACGTCTTGTGTATAAAACAAAACAGTTATTCCACTCACTCTGGTCAAATATGAGCGATAGCCGATTCGGCGCTACGCGCCTCATCGGCTCTCAGCTCATATTTGACTCGAGTACGTAGAATAACTGTTAAATATTCATTATCTACAGTGTATTAATTATTTCGATTTGCTAAGTTTGTTTATGTATCATTATTTTGTTTGGAATTAATTTATTTATGTTGTGTTTTTATAATTATTTATCAAAACTGTTTTAAGGCTATTTTTCTAGTAACTCCTTCATGTCAAAAATCACATAAACCCTCCTTCAGCAACTTTCAAAATTTTGTAACCCCTCCTCAAAATCACCCACCCCTTACCACCCTATAAATAACGACCACTTCTTTTGTTAATTTTTGCTTTGTACATATATAAACACGAATCCCCGAGCCGACGGCGCGAAGCGCCGTGCGAGGGTACTAATTCCCCCCGGCTATTTACACCCGAGGAAACGAAAGCATTAGCGAACTTTAGCGAAGACTAAAGTTCATCAATTATCGCGGGCGTGGGTGACCAACGTGTTGGGTGGGTGGTCATCCTCACTAATCTAAAAAATATGGCGGACAGTCATGAATAGCGGACACGGATTGGTCCAATTTAAAGCTCGCATTTTTACGACTGCATGACGGCAGCGAAATAGCAAACGTTTCTTGATTTGATGATTGATAAATTTCTTGCAAATATATTTAATTTTTGCTCGCATTTTTGCACGCATTTTTGCAAGATTTTGTAAATTTTAAAAGCTCTCTTAGAAAGAAACTGCGAAAGAATCGGCTAAAAGAATGGAGCCGACGTTAACGAAGGTAAGTTAATTGTTTTAAATATTGATTTTATAATGGCTTTAAAACCCGACGGCCTTTGGCTTTGCGTATATGAAACAACTAAACAAGACAGCATATAATTTCAGTGTATCTTTAATATTGATTTCTTTTTTTATGATATTGAATTTTTTAATTGAAATCATTTTATTGCAAACCAAAGTTTATCGATAAAGCCATTTTAAAAGGCAGTTTAGTTTTATAAAGAACACTAGTGACTTTAAAACGTTTTGCGAAGCGTTTGTGTTTGAATTTTACCTTAAATAAATTGAGGCTTATATTACGTATAATAACATACCTAACATATATATGTTGGGAAATTGATAATTTTGTAATTAAAAGTGATATTTTAGGCGATTTTTCATTTGTAAGAATATTCTTAAAAAATTATCGTGTTACCATGACACAGAGTAAAGATATACAGAGGCGGAACTCGAAGCAAATCATGTCCCCACTTTTTTAATGCGCATGCGCGACCCTCTGGCAAGTGTCATGCACATTTTTTATCAGGAAAAACAAATTATGCCTGTTTTAAGACCCGTTAGTTATGCAGTTTTGCTCTTATTACGCGTAATAGGGTAATATAAGCAATGCATTGATACTAGTTATGTAGGCAAAGTGACAAGGAATTAAGAAATGGAATAGTACAAAACAAAGTCTGAAAACGTATCAGTCTACGTGAGAAATCCGAGATATGGATTAAAACAAGAATATAGACCACTGGAAATAGGTCTGAGAGTAAACATATGGACGATCCTATACAAAGGTTAATATAGTACTAAGCATTCGGAATATAGGTATGATCTATGGACGTATGAAAGTTATAACTGTTAATAAGCATTGATGCCAATGCTGTGTTGTACTTATACCTGCACCTGCTATAAAATTTACTTTAATAATGTTGAGTATAGTATATATGTATTCATGCGCCCAAGCCGGCATATTGTATAATTCTTAATCTTCGCTATCAACTAGTTTCAGATAGACGTGAAATTTTTGCCTGTCTTGATTATGAATCGACCAAGCGCGCAATCTCGGCGTTTAATAATAAGATGTTGTTTATGATGCCATTACCATTACTGCGATATTATTATAAAGAAAGGATTGATCGGGCCTTATGGCGATATCATAGTAATCCACTGCGATGAGTAATATGACACTGCCTGTAAGAATATTTTGGACCGAAATTGGATAGTGTTAGTGATGTATTCCGATCACACTTAATAATGCACATCTTTCGATTTGACTACGAGTTCAAAGGCAAAGCACAGGTTTTAAAGAAATGTCGAAGCGACGACGTGGTTCGGACATGTTTTTACGAGAAGCATTCCTTTATGGCCCGGTTCATACATGTCCAATACCGACGGAAAAGATTATTCACCATCGGTAATATACATTTTCGTTTCGT